AAGGAATCCAGGTGAAGTCTGTGAAGATGACCAGGCTGCTTTGGAGAGTTCGGTACTACCCCCTTTATTGTTTAATATCATGAACTAGAATGGATTGAATTCTTTGAAAACGAAATGCATACTTCATTCCCTTCCTAAGGAAGGTACTTGGTGCACATTTTTAATTTTGAGTTTTATTTTGCGATGCTCAGAGGCTCCCTCACAGGCAGTGTTCACTGTGATATGTTTTGACCAAGAGTTGCTCTCAGAGACTATTGAGGTGTCTAGAGCTATTTCAGTCTCGCTCCTGTGCTTTTGGGGATCATTAGCTCGCTTTTTATAGTTTTCCTGTCTCTTATAAGGGTCAAGCTGGCACGTTTGGCTGTTACGGCATATTTGCCTAGAACATTCCTTTATCACTCTACCCACTATTCACTGTTTCAGATTCACTGCATATAATTTATTGTGGAACTAAACACGTGATCTTAGAATTTTTACCAAGTTAATAGCAAATATGATATGAGTGGTCTCCAGAAGCTTTTCCGGCTTATTTCCATGTTTTTAACCTAAATTTCAGAAACTTGTGGTTCTGGGGAAGTGTTCTCCAGGTCATTGCTATAGTCTGTAAGAGCCCACAATTCTGTTTGACTGTGAACTTTCTCTTCTAAGCACGAAGACAGGATCGCATGTAGTCCCCCCGGGTGCATACGACTCCCAGTTCCACTCTCTCATTTTGGTCTGACTATGCGGTTCTTGTTTTGCAGTCCCCAGTCTATCCCAGACCGCCTGAGGATCCGCGTGAACAAAATCAGTTTGCAAGACTATGAAGGGTTCCACTATGACAAAGAGAAACTCCGGGAAGCTTGTAAGTTGGAAGTGCTTCATTGATTTCCTGTGATCTGCCTATCTTCATCTTCTTGATCTTCCTTGGTTCGATGGATAGATTCATCTCGGATCTGAAAACCATGGTTAGAGAAATGAAGGGAAGGGAAGTAACAGGGAACTCCAAATGATGATAGGTGGGCTGAAGAAAATGCAACAGGAACATGGAATACAATTTTCCTGCTCAAGATGCCAAGTTAGGACCAGTTGGTTTATTAACCACTTGAAGTCTTGGTTTTATCTAAAATGAGAAAGCAGAAAGGTGGTGACACCACATGGTAGAGTAACATCTAGCATAGGTGTCTTCCTGGAAGCTGGCATCATCGAGGACTGTCCTCGTTCTTCATGACAGTTATCGGTGAGGACACGTCCAGCACTTCTAGCTGTTATGTGATTGTATGATGTTAAAACAAGGCCCAAGTCACATTCAATGTCATGATAAAGTGATTCCTTGAGGATGTGTCACTGTTTCCAGAATCTTAAATTGAGTCAATATATGAATTATTTCTCTATGTTCACATTTTCTAAATATTTCTTGAAGTAGAGAACTAATTTGTATTCACTACATCTGTCCCTCAGTACTTATTGGGCACTTTTTTTACATTCTAGTCACTATTATGGCCCCCCCCCATAATTATGGGGGTCAGTAGTCAATTGCAATTAAAGTCAGCAGGGATGCTAATAGAGAAAAAGGCATTTTGTACAAAACCAGAGGTTTATGAACTAAAACTCCAAACTGGCTCCAAGTGTGAACCTGCCTGGAGTTGTAGAAGACGCAAATAGTTAAAACTGGCAGGGGTGGAGTAGGGCTGCATACCTGAGAGAATGCCTTCCAAGCTCTTGTTCCTGAACCTGTGATTTGGAGTGGGATTTGGTGGATGGAAATCCTGGAATTCAGGGACACTCTCAAGAGTGGGTGCAGGGACTTTTGCATCTGGAGGTGGCGATGAGTAAGGACCCATTTCCATGGCAGCCCAGTCACCTACTAGGGAATTCTGTGTGAAATTACTGCCTTCTCAGTTCTCTCTGCTGCTTCAGCTTCCTCCGTCCTCTTGGCTCTTTTCTATGTCCATACCGCTTAGTTTCTCCCACTCTGTCCTTCACCCGCATTTCTTTGGTAGGAAAGTTGGAGGTGGAGGAGGGCAAATTCCCCAAATTACTCCCTTCTGTCAATGAGAGATTACATTTTCTAATGTAAATGAGATTACAAGTGACAGATCAGCACAAAATCTAATTTAACCCATAATGTGGTGGATATATATGTTTGAAATGGGAGGTTTAGTTACAATGTAAATGAAACTGACTTTCAGAGATAACTAATTGTAAAGAATAGTGTTTTTATTCTTTCTCAATTCAAGCAAATAGATTACAATTCTTGAAAAATAAAAAGAGAGAATGGATCTCAAGTTTGTACTATTTTGCAGCTTACCATCAACTCTGAAACTAGTCAGTTGGGAGTGGGGAGGGATTTTTGGCTTCTCTGTGCATTTCAATGATCTGTTCTGTCTATTCTATCCATTATCTGTCCATCATTGCCAGAGGTAGTTGTGATCTGAGTTTCACAAGAAGATGATACTTCTTGAAGCAGGTGCTTTGCTCATCATATCTTAATGTGATGCAATTTCTGTGTGAGGAAACTTCCTATATCAAATTGTGGGAGGTGACTTGGTATACATATAAATCCAACAAATTCAGCAGTGTCTTTGAGACCAAAAGCACAAAGAAACACTCAAAGAGGGAATCAAGGACTTATCTCATTTTAAAGATTTGGGTTTAAAGATTATAATATATTAATTAGAAGTAAAGATGGCCAACTCAGGCATTCTGCTTTTAATATATGGTGATGACACTTCTAACCTGTGGTTGTACAGGAAAGTTTGTCCTTTGGGGTTTTTACTTGTTTCTAACCCTGTTTTTCTTGGGTTCAACTTGAAACTAACCACAGGTTCATGGGAAGGCTGGCAGAGGTCAAGTTGAGTATAAAGGCAAACACCAGTTCAAGTCCATCAGTGACATACATGCCAAAATAGATATCTTATTTTACAAGCATTAAATGAAATTCGTAGAACACACCCAGATAAAAGGAGTCTAGGAATCCACTGACCTGCATCCCAGAAGAAAAAAGGGAATGAATCCTCTTAGGTCATTTATTTATTGTCCACATTCACAGTCTGAACTAGAGCAGTACTGCATTACTTGGCTTAAAAATTATTTCCCTTTCTTGATGATACAGCAAGCGATTGATCCAGGCATCACAGGCTGTTTGCCATCACTGTTTAATAGAATCTTGCTCATGTGCCTGCATCATTATTTATATTACATTACAAATCGAATGTTTGTTGTCTAACAAAGCCCTGCTTTCCTCTGTAAGGAAGGACTCCTCGTTGATTACAGGACGGCAGCCCTTTTAGTAGCCTGGCTTGTTTCAGCATATAAAAGGATGACTGAGCTATTTCAGATACATTTCATTCTCCTTTTATTTGGCTCCAACTTACCTGGAGGCATTCACGCTAAAATAATAGCACAAAAAGGTTAGTCTTTGCCAGTCCCTCCCTCAGCTCTTGCTGGTAAATTTTAGACTTAGGTAAAGCAATTTGAGCCTTATTCACAGGGTTTATGAATTATTAACCCTGAGATAATGGTTATACTGTCCAAGGGTGGCAAATTTATTCAACTTAAAAGGTAGGTAGAACATAAAGAGAAAGTGGCCATATTTAAAAAAAATTTTCCTAAAGTAAATTTATAATATAATGACAGCAGAGACTCACTCTTATAATCTGAATAAAGTATATAAAGAAGTCCATAATAAAGCACATCACTATATAATTGTTGGAGTCCCAGCAGGCCCTATAGTATCCCACAATAGCATATTGATTATTTTGAATTAATGTTGCTTACTTAAGAAACAGCCAGTGCAAGAACAACACTGACCTCTCTGTGCCCCTAAAAGTAGGACATAAATCTCCCACGTTAAAGGCCCTCTTTTGGACCTGGAGGCAGAGATTTCTCTTATCATTAGATTTAAAGAACCCAGAGCCAAAGAGTCTGTATAAACAAACCTGGTTGCCTCTTTATTAATTTACTAACCAAGCCCCAAGTGTTTAGGTTCCTCACTAATCAATACCCAACCCTTGCTTAGATAACTTTCTGACAGACACTAACTTTTTTGTCCTGTCATTTCTTCACAAATGTATTGTTTGTCTAAAAATCATAAAAAGGCTTCTGATTCAGTGATTTCTTTGAGCTTCATTTTGTGATCATATTATAACTGCTCATGCATACATATTAAATTGTTTTTGTCCTGTTAATTCAGCCTTGTGTCAAGTTTATTATTTTATTATTAGATTAGTTGTTAGAAGTAAAAAAGTTTAGGGGGTGTATGGAGATTCTTTCCTTCCCCTGATGTAGTCTAGACAAAGGATAATCTGTTATCTTCCATCGCCATCTATTTGGCCCCCTTTGTTCTTTACAACCTCACCCCTTTTGACTTCGGGTGGGATGTAGTAATTATATATAGTTCATGTATCATAGACATGTACACTTGAAAACTATATTATCCTATTAATTAATGTCACTCCAATACATTTAATTTTTTAAAAAATTTTAAAGGAAATCTGTTATATTTCTAACTTGAAAAGAGTTTCATTGATATATGACCTATTTCTTATATCTCGAATAACTTGATACTGACCAAGATTTAACTCTATTCCACATAAACTAAACTTTACTTCTGGCATTAGCTTACTCTGCACTTTTGAGCTGCTATGATAATTCATACAAGTCTAGGGCTTAAAACACAAAAGCAAAAACCAGTTTAGAACTAATTGAAAGCAGATGTAGCCTATAAAAGTAGGAGGCGACTAACATTTGCTTTATAGCAAATATTACACGCAACAACCCTTTTATATACATTATCTCAGTATAATGGATATTATCTGGATATTTATAATATGTAATATATAATGTATAATAGATAATATATAATCTCAGTATATGATTCTGTGGTATAGACTAATGATATTGTAATGGAATGTTCCTGTCTTTTGTTTACTGATTTAGTAGAAGAGTTGGAAATGTGTGTGTTTGAATCTCACGACCTTGACAAAGTAATTTCTCTGATCACCAAATATCTCATCTCTAAAATGAGAATATAATTGCAACCTCATAGAGTGCTGAGAGTTAAATGCAATCTTGTATGTGAAACCTCTGGTGCAACATCTGGCACATTAGCATGCTCTCCAAAAATGGTAGCGAGGACTGTTGTGGCTGCTGTTGCTACTGTCACACTGTTCCTTAATCTCAGGTCCAAAAAGCCAGGCTCAGAGCAGCTGACCTCTTCTACACTTCAAAGTACACCCACCACCACCCACCGAATCACTTTCTCACATTCCAAAATAGAATTGAAAACACTGTAAAAATATCACAGAAAGAATGTGGGAACAGAACACAATTAATCATTCAATTTACTTTTCCTGTGTTGACTAGTACAAGAGGCTGCCATGGTGGCAAGATGTTTAAACCTATGAAACGTGTGAACACTGAAAGCTCATATTTGGTGATTTGGCCAGTTATCTGCAAATTCCCTTTCTTAAGTTTTAATACAGTCTCATAATTGCATCATCTGGTATGCATCACCCAATTTCTTAAAAGAAAACCTTTTTGTTTTGGAATATTTACAGGTTTACAAAAGAGTTGCAAAGATACTACTCGGGGTTATACTATATTCCTCACCCAGCTTCCCTGTTGTTCAGCATTTTATATTATGATGGTACCTTTGCCAGTGAAAGTGGTGTTACTTTATTACAATTAACTAAACTCTGGACTTTGTATTCCAGAATCCAGTCCAGGACATCACATTGCATTGAGCTGGCATGTCTCCTAGCGTTCTCTCACCTGGGACACTTGCTCAGTTTTTCCTTTTTTTTTTCCCTTTCTCATGACCTTGATGGTCTTGAGGGATACTGGCCAGGTATCCTGTAGAAT